ACCAGTTTGCTTCAGGAAGGAGGGGGTGCTCCTCACTGAGGGTGATCACTAGCATCATTACTTTTAGACATGCTCCAAGCAATGCTATTCTCATGAGTAGGAAGCTATACCTCTCAATTTCACCTGATGGAGCTTCTCTGGTCCAGGTGGGACAGTCACACTATATATCTCTCAGTCTGGAGAAGGGAATTCAAATAAACACAGCAAGTAGAAGCAAGAGAAGTTGGAGAGGAGGAAATGCTCAGACACAGACACCACCTGACTCTGGGTCAGCAGACTCACACCTCATGTCAGATCACCTTCTATGTAATGGTTCCTTTAAGGGTCTGCTCTCAAAGTTTCATTCTTTTAATATTCTGTGCAGTACCTAATGTATAGTAAACGGTGTAAAAACTCTCTCTGTTGCTATCACCCACTGACTTCGATTTTACCAGCCCTGTGCTAGGTATTTCAATCATCTTTACACATCATCCCATCTTACAGAACCAGCAACTTTCTCAGGTATCAAATATATTTCTAGAATAAACATGAGCTAGCATAGGATTAGGAGGGATAAGAGTTACTTATTTTTCTCTGCCTCAATTTCTCTATGAATAGCAGAGAATTACAGAGTGGGACAAGTGTCCTGTTTGGTACAAAGTTCTACACAAACAGAAAGGATGTTTGAAATCTTCACTTAAGACTACTGCACAAAACTCTAGACAACATGGGTTTTTCAGAATATATTTTTAAACCTCAATTTCTTGTTTCACATTCCCAATATTCTCCCTCTTGAGCCAGATACTGTTTTCTCTTATATTTCATGATGAATTTCCAACAAAATCTGTTGGTTCCTTCTTCCTTTTTTTTTTTTTTGTGGGACCCTCGCCTGCGGCCGGGGAATAAACCAGCGCTGTGGAGGCTGCGGGCAGCCTCACAGCCCAGCTCTCAACTGCTGTGCCACCAGGGGAGGCCCTGTTGGTTCCTTCTTGACTTTAAACATAAAAACTTTGTGTTGAGCTAGTGCTAGGTGTATGACAGTGGTGTGTTCAGGGTGTTGGGTCTTTCCTTTTCTGGTGGTCCCACAGGGAGGAGGAGTTCTCCATGATAAAGAGAGCAACTGGATGAAAGTTTTGACGTTTCTGCTATTTTGCTTTACTTTGCTTTACTTGAATCGCCATGAAGTAATTAGAGATGTCTGTCAAGGTTTCTGATTTGACAGTGTATATCAAATCCCACAATATAAAGCAAGCTTACAACACAAATTCTCCATAACATCTGATAAGACCAAAGAGTCACCCAGTGACCCAATAGTTTCAAAAAAATTCCATTATAAAAAAAATTCTGTTTATTCTTAAAACATGCTATGAAGAAGCCAAAACTAGTGTTGAGAAAATATGCTGATGTATGATTTCGGTAAAGAAATCATTCAACACCAAACAAGTAAATTAACTACTCTGACTTATCTATTGATACATGAAGTGTGAAGTAGATGATCAGGAAGAAGGGGGCAGGGACAGGGACAGGGACAGGGTCTCATGTTGATAATCTTCGGTTAAGTCATTAAATAAACATTTTCCTTTCTGTTTTAAGTTATGGACATGATTTACATCTAATATGAAAGTAAGCTTCCTATCACCTGTTAAACTTTGTCCAAATTCCTCATCCCAGTTTTCAAAAAATTTTTTTTAAAGATTTATTTATTTATTTATACAAACACTGGGTACAGGCAGAAGCGTGGGAAGGTGAGAGAATTCACCAGAGCCAGAGCCGGGAACAGAACAGGCAGACTGACGAAATACATTGCTGAGGGGAGCAGCGGGTGTGGCAGGAGAGGTCTGTCCCACCATGTGGGACCCTCGCCGGTGGCCAGAAATCAAACTGGCACTGCAGAGGCTGTGGGCAGCTTTGCAGCCCAGTGCTCAACCACTGCACCACCAGGGGAGGCCCCAGTTTTCAAACATTCTTCAGAATTTAGATTTCTGAGGATAAGGAAGTTTCAACAAATGACAGCTCTTAGAAGATACCTGAAATAATAGTACATGGAAGAGAATAGACTTTTCCCAAGTGATTTCAGGGGTCAGAACAGGAGACGACCATGGCAATAAAAATCAGCTGACTTGGGACAAGCTACATAAGTAGAGCTACTAGCTCTGCTACCTTGGGGGAGTTATTCAGCTCTGCTGTGAGTTCCAGGTCTCACATAGAAGGGGGACATCTATAGACTGATGACAGAGGAAGATTCTGAGGAATATCTGAAAAATTTACACAGGTCCAAGCACAGGCAGTACCCAGTGAGTATGAGCTCTTCCCCTTCTCTGAGGGATTACTTCTCCAGGATTACTGCCCACAAGAAGTTCAATGTCACCTGACGTTTTAAGAAGAGGCAGAAATCTAGATTTCACATGAAATACTTAATTTTTAAAATGTTAGCATATATGAAATGTTTTTTGAAATATTAAGGGTCCAAACATACCTGCAGGCTGTGTCTGGCTCACAAAAGCAAATTTGCCTTTTCTGGTCTAAAGTGGCCACAAGTTTTGGATCAAAAGAATCACACACACAATTTGTTCTACTTATTGATATACATAGTTAAGAAAGCTCTTGTTGACATGGACCCCCACATTGTCAATTGGGGGCCCTTTCCATTCTGCTCACTTGGAAATACCTACATATTATTCTTTAAATTATGATTTAATTTTTTTAATGTATTTTTTATAAAGATTTATTTATTTATGTATACAATAACGGGGGTACTGGCCAGAGGTGCAGGGGATAAGAGGATTCACCAGAGACAGAGGGGAACAGAGCAGGCAGATTGACCAAAACACACTGCTGAGGGTAGTGGCGGGTGAGTCAGAGAGGTCTGCTGCACCATATGGGTTGCTCCCTGGCCAGGGATCAAACTCGTGCTGCAGAGGCTGGGGTTAGCTTCATAGGTTATGTCCCAACCCCTTGCACCACCAGGAAGGCCCATGATTTAATTTTTAAATACATTCATTAATCATAAAAAAGTCATTTCTCTAACACAGTGTCTGCATTTTTACTGGTAGATATTGGTGTAGAATAAATACCTATGTGAAAATTTACTCTTTTATATGACTACTTTTTGAGCACAAATCACATGTGAGGTATTGTTTCAAGCACTGGGCACACAGCAGTGAATAGGGTAGACATTACCCTGTTCTCAGGTGGACACAGCCTCATGAGGAAACCACACCATAAACAAGTTAACTAATGAGTAAAATCAGGACCATGTGAGATTTATGTGAGTGGGGTCTACTAAAATTTGCACAGAGAAGATCTTTCTGAATAGGAGCCATTAGAATGAAGAGATAAATGACAAGTTGGCATCAATCACGTGAAGGCAAAGAGAATGTGAGGCAATGAATATATAGCCAGTGCAAAGGCCCTGAGGCAGGAAGGATATGACATCCTGCTGTTACTTGCAGAGGGTGCTGTAAGAGAAGTAATCGGTAACCAGGTCAGGAAGGTCCTGATTGGCTGGGATTGAAAAGGTGGACTACAGTATGCACAGGATAAGACTCTACTGGGGAGTTTTGAGCCAAAGAGCACCATGACCCTTTTGTGTTTTATAAAGATGATGCCAGCTACAGAGGCAGGAAAAGCCAGTAACCAGGTAAGGGTGGAAATAACATCTGCAGTGCTCTGGATGAGAGATGCCCCACCAAGGTGTCAGATATAATTCTGGCTCACTTGGAACCCTGCTATGCAAGACAAGGACTGCATGAGGTTTGATCTGCTGGGTTTCCCATGATGGAATCCTGAAAGTGTGTAACGTTGTCCAAAAGGGGCTTCAGGGTCAATTGGCATAATGCCTTTCCTTTACAGATGCAAAATGAAGCCCCGTGGACCTGTGCAAGACACACACTGGCCAGTGGGGAGGACAAGGCTGAGAACAGCATAAACTTACACTTTCTGGGTGCTGGAAATCAGAAAAATCCTGAAAGGTTTGTACTAGAACTGAGCGCCACGTTAACAGGTCTAGGTCCACATGCTGGTTACAGATCCCAAAATAACATTGGGGGGACATATGCTGCCATCTTCTCACACCAACACTGCCTTTTAAATTATTATTTTGAAAAGTTTATTTATTTATTTATTTATTTATTTATTATTTATTATTATTTATTTTTATACCAGAAGCAGGGTACAGGCCAGGTGTGCGGGAGGGTGAGAGAATTTACCAGAGACAGAGCGGGGAACAGAACAGGCAGACCAACTGACATACACTGCTGAGGGGAGCAGTAGGCAAGACAGAAGAGGACTGTCGCGCCAGGTGGGTCTCTCTGCAGCTGGCGGGGATCAAACTGGCACTGCCAAGGCTGTGGACAGCTTCACAGTGCTGCGCTCAACCGCCTGCGCCACCAGGGAGTCCCAGCTCTGCCTTTTAAAGTATGAGCACTTTGAGGAAAGTGCCCCTCTTCCTTACTGTTGCCAAGGAATGAGAATGTGCTGGTTGAATTGAGGTTAAAGATTGTATGACACTGCCATTGTGTGACACTGCACTTGAGGATCAATCAAATGGGTTATCTGCAGCAAGAGGTTTGAGGGCACAGGCTCTGGATTCAAATCATGCCTGGGGTCAAAGTCTCTTTTGCTACTTAAACAATTTCATCTTGGGAAAATTACGTACTTTGAGTCTCAGTTATTTTATCTGAAAATGGGCGTAATAAAAGTACATATTTTATAAGGTGAAATTAAGATTGCATGCAAAGTTTATGACATTTCAGTAGGCACTTGATAAAAACTGGCAATTTTGTCGGTAGAAAACTGTTCACTTGTCTAGTTGTAATGACCTTTGATTCTGAACATACAGCAAGCCCAGGATATGCTGGAATTTAACTTTCCCCTTGTCCTGTGTGTAGTCTGTTACTTCCCTGACCTGCATTGGGATGTCCAGTGGGAAGGAGAATGGAATGGGAGTCAGTGAGTTCCTCCTTCTTGGCATCACCAGTGACCAAGAGCAGTGGTGAGTCTTCTTCTGGATCTTTCTGTGCATGTACTTTGTCACTGTGGCAGGGAATGCACTCATCATCCTGGTCATTGGCTCTGACCCTTGCCTGCACACCCCCATGTACTTCTTCCTTACTAATCTCTCCTTTGTTGACATCTGTTTCACTACCAACCTGATCCCCAAACTCTTGGTCAACCATGTGATGGGAGCATGGACTATCTCTTACCGCCACTGCCTGACTCAGATGTACTTCCTCATCACCTTCGCTTACCTAGACACCTTTCTGCTGGCTGCCATGGCACTTGATCGTTACGTGGCCATCTGCAACACCCTGCAGTACTGCACCATCATTACTCCCAAGCTCTGTGGAGGACTGGCTGCTCTAGTGTGGATTTCCTCCAGCCTCATCTCCCCGGTCCACATGCTCCTCATGAGCAGACTGACTTTCTGCTCCTCTGCCAGGGAGATCTCACACTTCTACTGTGGCGCTTACCTGCTCATGAAGATTGCCTGCTCAGACACACTTGTCAATCAGTGTGTATTCCTGGGTGCTGTGGTCCTATTTGTGGCCCCCTGTGTACTCATCATCATTTCCCACATCCATATAGTTGCAGTTGTCCTCTGGATTCCATCTACCTCGGGAAGATGCAAGGCATTCTCCACATGCAGTTCCCACCTGTCTGTAGTCATCTTGTTCTATGGAACTGTCCTAGGGATATACATACGACCCCCAGACTCCTTCTCAGCCCAGGACACAGTAGCAGCCATCACGAACACAGTGGTGACCCCATGTTAAACCCATTCATCTACAACCTGAGGAATAAAGATATGAAGGAGGCTGTGAGAAAGCTCTTCAGCAGGGGCTCAAAACCTTCTTAGCAGTAGTGAACACTAGGCTAACAACTGGAGAGGTCCAAGACTTAAGAACATAGAACTTGACTCTGAACTTCACCCCAACAACACCCACTTTCACACACTGACAGATTATTTTTAGAGAAGAAAAAACTGAAAATATAGGAAATTTTCATATGTACTTTCATCTCTGAGAAACTCAGAGGCTCCTTTTGGTTCTCTCCTCCACCATCCCCATTACCTCCACCATCTTTAATTTTTTTAAAGATTTATTTATTCATGCACACAAGAACTGGGGTACAGGTCAGAGGTGTGGGTGGTGAGAGGATTCACCAGAGACAGAGTGGGAAACAGAACAGGCAGATCTACAATACACTGCTGAGGGGAGCGGTGGGAAAGACAGGAGAGATCTGCTGCACCATGTGGTAGCTCCGTGGTCGGGGATCAAACTCGTGCTGCAGTGGCTGCAGATTGCTTCAGAGGTTGTGTTTTAACCCCTATGCACCACCAGGGAGGCCCCTGATGTGATAATTTTTAAAAGGACAAATTGAATACCTTTGTGGAGGTAAATTAGGCACTATAACAATGCTAGTGGGAGTGTAAACAAGGACAAACTTTCTCGGGGAAACCTTGCTCATTTCACCAAAAATCTTGTATGCATCTATATTTGTGAACCAGCAGTTAATATTTTAGAAATTTACCATTAAAGAAATAATCTCTCAAATTGCTTGTGAATATTCATTAATCAATCATTTATAATAGTGGAAATATTAGAAATCATCTAAGAAGCATCACCTTTGGAGTTATTAAATATATTATTAGTTGGTCATTAAAAATAATGACATCTATATTTATTGCCATTAAAAGATATCAATGATACATTATGTTCTAAAATAACAACTCACATGAAATATGAGCCACTCTCCACATATATTATGATGTATAGAAAAAGATCTGGATAGACAGACACATACAAAATCTTAAGAATGAGTATCTCTTCATACAGGAAGCACAGGTAATTCTCATGTGTTCTATATCTGAAATTGTGAAAAAATGTATATGTTTTAAAATTGGGGGAAAAAGCCAGTGAAGCAATTTCAACTTTTAAAAAAGATATATACTGAGGAAGGATATAATTGTTAAATAAGAGTATGGTAATTAAGAATAGACCTAATTGAAAGTGTGGCCCATGTTGTACAACTGAAATCTATCTAATATTAAAAACCAATTTTGCTTCAGTGAAAAAAATTAAATGTGGCCCTACGTCAAGAATAGAAAATTGAGAGAATAGAAGAGAAAAGGAAACACACCCAAGTATCTAAGTCCATTAGGGCCACTAAAACAAAAGCACCATGTACTGGGTCACTACAGCAACACAACCTTCTTTCATACAATACTGGAGGCTGTAAACCTATGGACAAGGTGACAGCAGATTCATTGTCTGGTGAGAACCCACTCCCTGGTTCATAGAAGGTCATCATCTCTTTGTGTCCTAATATGGCAGAAGGAACATGAGTTTCAACTTTGAGGGCATTGTTAATTGAAAATAAAGTCTCAGTCAAAGTGAGGATTTGAATCCAGGAATCAGTCAACCATATTTTACTCTGTGAGAGCTGTTCCAATAAATACAAGTTTGAATTTAGTTTATATATGTAGGAATGGCAAGTCATTAAAATTAATAATACATTCATTCTTGATTAGAGGGGCTGCTAGTTCTGAAGCTTCTAGTGACTAAAACTATGCTGATGCTAGAAGAAGGAAGGGAAGGATTTAATCTCTTTCTTCTGAAGAATGTACTATAGAAATGCAGTGGCTGGATACCCATTGTTAAATCATTTTTATCTGGCTTCTTGGTCACCAGTGGGTATGAGAAGATTGGCTTCATCTTCAGGCAGTAGTTTCCTGAACACAAGTTGGAGCCTATAAAAATGGCTTTGCTCTCTTGCCTGCTAGACCAGGGGAAGGGTCCCAGAATATTTTGCAATATGTTCACAGCATTAATTCCATCATGAGTTCTGAACTCTTATCCCCTAATTCTCAAAGGTGTCCTCACCAAACACCATCATACAGGGGGCTAGGGTTCCAACATACAAATTCGGGGCCAACACAAATATTTAGTCTATCACATTTCATTCCTAGACCTCCAAAAGTCATCTCCCTCTCACACACAAAATATGTTCATCCACCCCAATAGTACAGTCCCAAAAGTCTTAACTCATTGCATTGGCAACACCAAAGTCTAAAGTCCAAAGTCTCATCTAAATGCTATCTAAGTCAGATGTTGGTGAGACTCAGATATAATTCTTCTTGAGGCAAATTTCTCTCCAGCTATGAATCCGTGAAATCAAATAAGCTCTAAAATAAGATGGCAGGACAGGCATAGGATAGACATTCCTATCACAAAAAGGAGAAATAAAAAAGAAGAAAGGGTGACAGATCCCTGGTAAGTCTAAAACCTTACAGGAGAAACATTCAGCCTTAAGCCTGAAGAATAATTCTCTTTATCTTGATGCTCTACCTTCCAGACCCACTGGGGTTACATTCCTGCCTCCATAATGCTCATTTACAAGACCCCTTGGATCTATAATTGTTTGCTTAACCTTCCTGTTATTGAGTCTCCAGGCTAATAGGAGCTCAGCTAGTCACCAGTGAGGGACAGACCCTCCAACCTATGAAGACTTCCAGCTTTCTGTCACTAGTTCCAGAACCAGCTGATACCTGATAGCTCCACAGACTCGGATGGGAGACGACCTGACCTAGAAGTGAGTAGGATTCATTAGTAGGCTAAAACCGTGTAAAAGGGGCAATGTGAAATGTAGCAGACCATGCAAGGTCTAAGCTTGAGCTAGCCCAGGAGGACAAGTTAGGACTGTGAGAGGTCGGGTTCCTGTCAAAAATAAAATGCGTATACCCTTTGTACCTGAAACATGGAATGTGGTGAAACGCTCTGCTGCTTGTAACAGCACAGTTTGACTTCTGTACCTCCTTGCTTGCTATGGCAACTGCAAACTCCCAGGTGTGGTTTTCGGCTTTAAAAACCCTTATCACCCCCTGCTCAGGGCTGCTCCCTACAAGCGGGACAATCGATGGGCGGCTAATAAAGGCTTTTTCCAAATTTGATTTAGACTTGGGTCTGTGTCTAGTGGGAGACTCTACAACAAAACATACCACCTTGGCTGAAGACTTAAGATACTACTGAGATATGCAATGTATGAATAAATTGTAACTTTTCTGTGCATGTTTAGTCCAGGCTAAAACATGGTATGATGCCGCTCTCCACTCCCCCAGCTAGGTTAACAAGCACATAAAAACAGGATCTCTACAACTTCAGCAGGGAGTATGGCTCAGGGAGACTCCTGGCCCCTCCTCTTGTGTGATCCTTAACAATGTCCCCCTCGCTTGAAGCCTATGTTGGTGTTTTCAAAAATTTACAGGGATTAATGAGTGGAAGCCAATTAATCTTTGGCCTCTGTAACACTCACATGTTGGGCTCTTGTGTCTACAACTGTGCCGTTCAGTCTCCCACCCTCTCCTACATCTGTGATTCTCTTGGACTAGAATCTCAAACTCGCAGCTCCGTTGGTGTGGGGTTGGGGATGGCCCTGCCCTCACAGCTTGCTTGGCATTGCTCTGGGGAGGGTCTCTCTGCAGTAGACACAACCTACCATAGTTTTCTGCCTAGGGCTCTGCTGCCTGGTGGCCAGTCCCTTGAAATCTAAGCGGAGGCAGCCACGTCTCACAGCTCAGCTAGGTACAGCCTACCTTCAGTTTTTTGTTTTGTTTTGTTTTGTGGTGACCCCAACCTGAGGCATACTGACCCACTTGGATTGCCGCGGTGGCCTCTACCTTTGAAGTTACTCCATTCCCAAGGTCTTGCACTGTTAGCCCGTGATATGGGAGTGGGAACCTAAATTTTAGGGTCATTCTTCCACAGTCTTAAAGAATATAGCCCCTAGCTCTATTGAGAAAGCTGACATACTAACCTTCTTATAAAATGTTTACATATGCCCTTGATATTCCAGCAGACTTTTTCAACCCCTTCAATATAGATAGTTGAAATTTTTCCAAAAATTTTAAGTTCTCTTTTGCATAGCAATTGTATATTTATCTGCTGCTGCTATCTGCCTGTAAACTAAAATGCTTTAATCCCTTCCCTGAAAAATGAGATAAAGTCCTTGGGTGATGTTTACTTTTCTGATATTACATAACTTAAATACTCATAAGCTTAAAGGAACCTGAAGCGGGGAAACGATCTACATGTGAGAAGGCAAGAACTTAAGAGAGAAAATCATCATATGCAAATACCCTTGTCCAAGACATGTGGGTACATCTTCAGGGGTTCCTTGCCTTGGTATTTCTGCTCCAAGTTATTGCAGGACCTCTACAAAACAGGGGAACAGATATTTGGTACCTCTCTGGTATGCTGACTCAAACCTCTGAAGGTTTATTTTTCATTGTGCTCAAACTACTAGTTTCTTCTACAACAGTGAAGTCATGCTTTGGAATTAGGAGTGCAGGGTCCTTGGGTTCACTCCAGGAAAGATTTCACCAGAGCTCCCATTTCAGCAGCACGCAGCAAGTTTCCTAGGCAAGTTTCTCCATGAGACAGAGACATTAGTTGTATTTAAAGAGCAGGTTTATTAGGGAAAGGGACAGAAGAATGAAGGACACTTGCATAGACACACGCGGGCAGGAAGAGCTGCCCCGAAAGGAACAGGTTTGCTGAGAGAGGCCCGCATGGTTGCAGAGGGGCGGCCTTGAGGGGAGCTGCCTCCACTGAGGGAGGTCAGTGAGGAGAAGCCCCAGCAGGTACAGGTCACGGGCAGGCAGAAGGCTGCTGCCCTGCAGAGGGAGAGAGTTGGGGAAAGGAAGCACCTGCATAGTCACAGGTGGGCAGACGGAGTGCTGTCCCATTGTGAGGTCAGGTTAGGTTTTATCATCTTC